GAGTACCTTTTTTCCCCAGTGAGTCAACATACCTCTTTTGTCACATGTCACTCAAGAGGGGGTCTATGTGGGTCTCTTTACAGGCTTTGTTTATTATTCTGTCTGTCCCTGGGTCAATATCTCCATGTCTTAATTTCTATAGCCCTATGAACAATACTGATATGATGCTTATCAACCTTGTTCCTAATCTACAGACATTCCTTAATCACTTATGGAAATTTGTGTTTGCTTTGCTTATAAACTTTAGGATGTTAGGTTTCATAAAAAGCCAGTTGAGATTTTGATGAGATGTACATTGTATTGAAGGATAAATTTGGGTAGCATGGATATTTCTGTATGAATATTTTATATTCAAGGTATTATATACTGAATCTTCCAGTACATCAATATGGAATAGCATACATTTATTTTGATCTTCTTTAGGGTTTAAATTTAGCTTTATAATTTTTTCACAAAAGTCTTTCAGAACTTAATAGAACTTTCTCTTTATTCTAATTGTTGATATGCATATTTTCCTGTGTTTTTATTAGATACAATTATATCATCTGAAATTAAAAGTTAATTTTTCCCTTTTCAATCACTGTTTAGATGTTGAAGAGAAATATCCATAAGGAGATTTGATTTGTCCTTATAGATATTTCTCTTCAACAACAGTGATTGAAAGTACAGGTTGTCTTGATCTTCTCTTTCAATTGAATGCCTAAGACATTTCACCACTAAATAACAAGTTTTTTGTTGATTTTTTTTTTTTTTAGTCTGTCAATTTAGGTAAATTCCCTTCTATTACTAGTTAGCTAAGAGGTTTTTTTTTTGAATGACAAACACATGTTTAATTTTATCAAAACATATTCTGCAGCTATTAAAATAATCGTATGGTTTTTAAAGAATTTGTTGACGAGGTGATTTATATTAGCATATTTTCTAATGATAAAACATCCTTGAATTTGTTAGTATTTGGCCTATGATTCTTCTATTCACTGGAATCCTGATAATAAAATAAGGATTAATTTTGCCTTGGAAGCAATGACCAGATACTGAACCTATTGGTGATTTGATCTTGGACTTCTCAGTCTTTAGAACCATGAGAAATGTATTTCTATTGTTTATAAAGTAACCAGCTTAAGGTTTTTGTTATAGCAACCTGGAATGAACTAAAACAGAAATTGGTAATGAGTAGTGGGGTGCTGCTGTAGTGAATACCTGAAAATGTGGGAGCAACTTTGGAACTGGGTAATGGGTAGAGGCTGAGTTTGGCAAAGTAGGCTAGAAAAAGCCTAGATTGCCATAAATGGACCATAAAAGGTAAAGGCTCATAAGAAGAGTTATAGACAGAGCCTCAGTCTTCTTGGAGATTATGTAAAAGATTGTAATCAAAATGTTGGTACAAATATGGATGCTAAAGGTCATTTTGATGAGGTGTCAGATGAAAATGTTCTGGAAACTGGAGGAAAGGCTATCTTTGTTATAAAGTGGCAAAGAACTTGGCTGAATTGTGTCTGCATTCTAGTGCTCTGTGGAGGGCAGAATTTAAGAGTGATATACTAGGATATTTGGTGAAAGAAATCTCTAAGCAAAGCGTTCAAGGTACTACATGGCTTTTCTTGACTGTTTATCATAAAATGCAAGAGAAGAGAAATGAATTAAAAATGAATTTACAACAAAAAGGGAAGTAGAACTTAAAGAGATGGAAAATTTTCAGTCTTTCCAGGTTGTAAAGGTTCAAAGGGCATGTTCAGCCCTTTGAATAGCAATTGCAAATGAATATTCAGAGAATACCAAGGGCATGGCTAAGCCAACGTAACTTTGGATACGATATTAGTGTGGCTATAAGGAAGCCAGACGCTATTGATCCGGACAACAGAAGAATGATTCCAAAGGCATTTCCATCTTGGAGGCTGCGGCCCCCATCATGATCCCAGAGTACCAGGGCCTTCAAGTCAGAAAGGTTTCAAGGGAGGGGCCCAGGGCACCTGTGGCACCTCAGGGCTCACTGCCTGGGGCCTCCTCAGGTATTTGTTCCCCACATTCTAACACAGTGCTTTTTAGCTGCTCCAGCTGGGGCTCAAGTGGGCTCAGATGTGGCTTGGGCCACCCTTCTGAAAAGTATAAGTAATAAGCCTTGATGACTTTCTTGAACTGCCAACTCTGCATTTATATAGAGTGTATGAGCTGTGGAGGCATGGCTATCTCCACGTAGATTTCAAAAGATGTCTTGGAGAGCCCAGAGCCCAGACAGAGAACTGTCCCAAAGGTGAGACAGGTGCAGAGCGTGCCTACTAGGGTAATGACCAGCAGAGCTGTGGGGTCAGGGTTGCCCCCGAGATCCCAAACTGGTAGAGCCACCAGCATCCAATGCCAGCCTAGGAGAGCCGCAGGCACTAGACTCCAACTTGTGAGAGCTACAGCATGGGCTGTGCCCAGCAAAGCCATGGGGGTAGGGCTGGTTGGACCCTTGGATGTCCAACCCTTGCCCCAGTGTGTACAGAAGGATGAACATGGACTCAAAGAAGACCATTCTCAAACCTCAAGATTTAACAGTTTGCCTTGCTGGGTTTTGGACTTCCATGGGGCCTGTGACACTTTCTTCTTGCCCATTTCTCCCTTCCTGAATGGGAATGTTATCCTATGCCTGTACCACTATCGTATTTTGGAAGCATATCACTTGTTTGATTTCATAGGCTCAGAGCTGGAGGAGTTTGACTTAGGATGAATTGTACCTTCAGTCTCAGCTGTATCTGATATAGATCATGTTTAAATGAGACCTTGCACTTAGACTTTAAAGTTAATGCTGGAACACGTTAAGAATTTTGGCAATAAGTTATCGAATTTGGGATGAATTTTGTATATGAGGACATGAATTTTGAGGGGGCAGGGGAAGAATGCTATGGTTTGACTGTATCCTCCCAAAAATTCATGTTGAAAGGTAATTCTCAATCCAACAGTATTAAGAGGTGGGGCCTTTTGGAGGTGATTAGGCTGTAAAGGCTGTGATCTCATAAGTGGGATTAGCGGCTTGTAAAAGGGCTGGAGGGAATTAGCTGGGCCCTTTTCTCCATCCAGCTCTTCAGCCATGTGTGGACACAGTGTGCCTCTTCTCCAGAGGATGCAGAAACAAGGTACCATCTTGGAAGCAGAGACTCTGCCTTCACCTGCTGGTGCCTTGATCTTGAACTTTCCAGCCTCCAGAACTGTGATAAATAAATTTCTATTGTTTAGATGTTCCTGAGAATTAAGGCTTTTTGTTATAGCAGCCTGAAATGGACTATGACAGTATCTATTGCTATTCATTTGCAATTACTATTACTATCCTTGATACTTTAACAAGTGTGTTTGAATTACATTCCAAAGTTAATCACCATTTCCACCCTTTTCTGGAGTCTTACTGTTATCCTTTATCTTTCCCACTTTCTTGCTGGTCTCTACTCTTCCTTCAACTCTCATCTCAAATGCTACTTTTTCAGTGATGCCTCTCCCATTCCCCAGACTAAACCAGACACCCATATATTTGTCCTTCATAGCATGTATGAGGGTTTAGAATTACATACTTCTGGGTTCCATAACTCAGTAAGCTGTAACTCGGTAAGCTGTAACTTCTGAAAGGGCAGGGATCGCCTCTGTGTGTCTTTTCATTCTGTTTTGAATGTGCAGCCATGCGTCTGGCACATGGTGTGCAACAAGCTTGGTTGCAGATGGGAAAGCCAGGTGGGAGAAAGGGGGAGGGGCACTGGCTGCATAGGCCGCAATGTTGAGGGAGGAAGCTGCAGGGCTGCCAGACCTGGAGGAACTGAATCCCCTCCATCAGTTAAGGAATCACGTTCTCCTGCTAAAAACAGAACAGACACAATGATGGCTAAAGAAAAACAGAAAGTTCTTTCTTTCTCAGGTCATGAAGTCTGGGGTTAGGTAATTCAGGGCCGAGGCAGGGGCTCCATGGAGTCACAGGGGATTTAGGCTACTTTTTACACCATTATCCTTGGCTCATAACTTATATCCTCAAGAGTCTAAACTGGTGCCTGGCATTTCATTTTTTGTTTGTTTGTTTTGGGATGGAGTCTCACTCTGTCACCCAGGCTAGAGTGCAGTGGCATGATCTTGGCTCATTGCAACCTCCTCCTCCCTGGTTCAAGAGATTCTCCTGCCTCAGCCTCCTGAGTAGCTAGGACTACAGGTGCATGTCACCATGCCTGGCTAATTTTTGTATTTTTAGTAGAGATGGGGTTTCACCATGTTGGTCAGGCTGGTCCCAAACTCCTGACCTCAGGTGATCTACCCACCTCGACCTCCCAAAGTGCTGGGATTACAGGCATGAACCATCGCACCCGACAAGTGCCTGGTATTTCCACCATCACAATCAACTTCCAGGTGGGAATCCAGACCTAGGAGAGAAGGACAGGAAAGACCATGCCCATTTAGTTGTCTGCTCCCTTTTACAAAGCCTGTCTTAGAATCCTACTCCACTTACATCTTATGGGTTATGGCTGAGTTCTATGGCCTCACCTAGCTGCAAGGGAGATTTTTTTTTTTTTAAAGCCAAGTGGTTTCCAATTCAAATAAAATCAGGTCTGTGTTATTAAGGGTAATGATGATGACGACGTGTGTGTGAGGGGTGGGTGTGATGCTGCTGACTGGGGAATGATCACTGGAACTGGAGTCAGGGAGACAGTAAGAGGAGGTGTTGGTATTTTGGGTGAGAGACACTGACACTGTGAATTATGGTAACGAGACTGGAATGGAAAGGAGGGTCTGAACCAGCACTTGATGGAGGGCCCACTGGATCCTTGATGGCTCTTCTTTCTACGGATTTGCTTCAGGAGACATTTTACTTTTGGGTTTAATTTCACTTAATAAATCATCTTTTCATTAACTCAAGGTTATTTTGAGTTAATCTCTCTGGTAAATAATGAAATAAACTAAGGCAGAGTAATCTGTGCTTCTAAATCTAAGCAGGATGAATATTATTTTTGAAAACATATTTCCAAAGGTACTTATTTTTCCCCAAAGCTCTATTTTCAAAGGCAGAGGAACAGAGAGGACATTGATTAATAAGTATAAAACATATCTTTTTAAAAAACTGTATAGCCATTCTTTGTTTATAGACATTCAAGATATATACAAGACTCAATGTCAGAAAATAACAGCCTGGAAGCCATCCAGAGGCTTTATCTCCATGCCACAAGCTATGTGTATTTTCTTCAGATAGTCCACAAATCTTTTAAACTAAGCATTTTCTTTTTCTTCTCCCCAGACCATACTTATAAAAGATGACTTGGGCTTTTTCGACACACCAATTTTGTTTAAGCAAATTGAGTTGCTAGACAATATAGCCAGAAATTTAACCAAGAGGACAAGGCAAAACACCTTCAGACTTCTAGAATCCTTTAATTTTCTGCACACATAGCTGAAGTAAAGCCCAATATCTTAGTAAAAGGCCCGTACTGAAAGAAGAATCAGTAAAGTCTTCTTAAGAAAAAAATAAACAGGGAAAACGACACCTACCCTCCCCCAGCTGCTCCTGCGAGTCAGCACATCTTGTTAATTGTGTGGTCTGCTTGTTGTATCCTTGAGTCATTGCTTTACCCAGGCGGCTTCCTTGAACGTGGCTGTGAGGTGCGGAAATGTGGTTCTTCCTTGAGAAATGGGTTGCACAGAGCTCAAAGATGAGCTGAGTTTGCCTGGGTTAGGTGAGGTCCAGGTCATGCTGTGCCAACCTCTGGGAACATATGGCAGTGGCAAAGTGCAACCCTCTGACCAGACATGGGCTGTGTGAGGCAGGCCCTGGTGGACTTGAGTGGAAGCTCAGACTGCAGAGCCGGGCACGTGATGGGGTCCCAGGCTGTGCCTGAAGGAGCAGACTGACGTGGCCCTTCAGTTTAAGGGCCGGAAACTGCATGTGCTATGCACATTTGTGCTCACTCTCATCTGCGCCTCAAGTATTTTCTATCTGTCTAAGGTTCTGGGTGACTCTCTTTAAATAAAACTAGTCTGCTTAACTTTGCCAATAGAGTGGGCTGCTACACTAAAGAGGAATGCGTGTTTCTCGGGGTAAGAGAACCCTAAAGACGTAAAGAAAACCCAAGTGTAGGGGCTATTTCCCTAAAATCTCCCCACTTGTAGATTCCTAATCCATCAAAAGAATCTGACAAAAGAAACCTGTTTGGGTGCAACCCAGCCCCACCTGTACCCATGATCATGTTTTCCCAATACTTTGAAGTAGGTGAGCAATAAAGCAGCACTAGGCAGTCTTAGTGAGACATCAAACTTCACATCTTCGTATCAATGTTTAGCATGAGGAAAAAGACTGATGGGACTGATCAGACGATCTTTTCGTTTCTTCAGTTCTTAAATGTCACGGATCTAAAAGAATGAAGACAGGGGTAAAAAGAGAACACTCATGGAGAACGATTGTAATGTGTCTCATTGGCAGGAAAATCCAGTTAAGAGGTAAATGTCAAGAGGCCACGATTTCTGGATTGAAGTTTTTTCTATAATTTTAATACAATCTTACCACATCTTAAATACCACAGATACCTGGCTTTCCTTGAAGGTCACTCATGGCCCACAGTCATGTCCTGATTTCTTCCAGGTGATGTTCTTTCCAGAAAGCCCCCTCCCTGTTCCTCTGGTCTGAGATGGCAGCTTAGGGATGTGGCTGAAATTCAAGCACTAGGGAGGGAAGGAAAGACAAGACAAAATTGGTCGATTAGTACAGAAACATAAGTGATCTTTCATAGTTCCGAACAGAAGTGAGGTGAATCAGGAAATGGATGGCGTTTTTCAAGTCACATGAATCAGCGCCCCAGAATTCATCATTTTCACCAAGTGTTTTGTTGGTTTCCTCATTCTTTCACATTGTGTGCATGGCTCACCTAAAACAGTTTAGGGAAAGCTGTATTTTATTTTGAAAAGAAGAGAACTAAATATTTTTGTTTGTTTGTTTAAAAATGATCATCCTTAGTTTTATGTGATGAGAAGCAGCATAATGCAGATAGCTTTCTAGCAAGCAAGACCTTTACAAAGAAAAAAAAAGAAAAAATTTATTTAGAAAAAAGAAATACTTGTATATACTTCAAAATGACGTTGTTTATGGAAAGCCTGCTTATATGTTGGGGGCTGGGTGAGTATTTTACACAGATTACTGTCTTTCTCCTTTCAAGCAGACAACTGACATCCCCCTGCCAGGCTGGTGTGTCTAAGCTCCTGGTGAAGAGACTAGCTGAGAAAAGGTAAAGAACTTTCCCCATGTTGGCCGGGCGCGGTGGTTCACGCCTGTAATCCCAGCACTTTGGGAGGCCGAGGGGGGCAGGTCACGAGGTCAGGAGATCCAGACCATCCTGACCAACATGGTGAAACCCTGTCTCTACTAAAAATACAAAAAAAAAAAAAAAAAAAAAAAGCCCGGAGTGGTGGCGGGCGCCTGTAGTCCCAGCTATTCAGGAGGCTGAGGCAGGAGAATGGCGTGAACCCGGGAGGCGGAGCTTGCAGTGAGCCGAGATTGCGCCACTGCACTCCAGTCTGGGTGACAGAGCAAGACTCCGTTTCAAAAAAATAAATAAATAAAAAGAACTTTCCCCAGGTTAAAACTCAAAATTACATCCTCAATGTAGATCCATTTCACTTTAAACAAAGGATGCACTCAATTATAATTTGCTTTATTTACCTGCTTATTAGCAATTATTTTGTAATTATCACTAAAATATACATCTTTTAACAGTGCATTGGTGCAGCCTGCAAACAGCAAAACTGAATTCAACTCTCCCCCAACATACACACAAAATTACATAATTTATCCAGTTAAGTGTTATGTTATCAGACCTATTGGGTTATGCTGTGGAAAGCTATCTTCTTCCCACTGCTTAGCTCTATATGCTAAGAATTTTTTTTTTTTTTTCTTTTAAAGTATTAACTGCAATGTTCTGAGGCAAGAAGAGGATTAGCTGAATACATTGGGTTCTAATTTCTGTCTCCTTCACCCTGGCCACGTAGGCTCCACAGGTCCGTGCAAAGGCTGCAGAATCCAAGCAGAAGGCAGCTTCCTCCCTACATCTTCCCCCCTAGAAGCAGCCAGGCAAGACCTTGGCCTGCCTCTTCCTCCCAGCGAGGCTCCTAGGCCTCTGTGCCACGTAGGCAAAAGAATCGGAATGTCTGGAATGGAGCTAGTGTCCTAAGTGCCAAGCAAGGGAAGGGAGAACGGTTAAGCTTTTCGTTCAGGTCCCCAGGAGCCTGCAGCTGCCACACAGCAGGCCAGGAGCCCCCGCCACAACCCAGGGAGAAATGCTTGCCAAGGAGGCCTGCCGGCTACTGACACTTCCTCCCAGAGGCCTTAAAGGAAATCCCAGTAAGGGCTGAGTACCCAAGACAGCCAGATCACACGTGCCAGAAACTGAGCATTTGGGGATGGGCTGGGCTTTCATAGAAACCTTCGGAACTGCTTTCACTTAACTCTTTTATTAAAAAAAAAAGTTCTAGAAAATAAAGACACATCGATGGCAATTTGTATTTTCATTGTCCTCTCAGGTCTGCATGGCTACTGTGCGAGAGCTATGACACCCTGCAGCCTGCAATAGCTTCTTTGTTTTATTGAAGAGCTCAATGGAACCCTTATGGACGCGCCGGACCATGCCCAGGACCAGCGAGGCCCATCCATAACCAACCACTGGCTGGAAGGGCGCTGGTGTGAACACGGGTCCTTACGGGGTCCCTACCTCACTGCGGTTAGGAGAGGGCAATTCACACGTTTCTTCATGCAGGGACCTTCAAGCCTCCCTCTGAGGTGCAGATGGAGAAAAAAGGGCCCAGAGATACTGTCCCGCACCCCCATCCAGCGGGAAAGGGCCACTCAAGGCCAGTCAGGACTCTGCACCCAAGTTTTATACCTTATACTCCTATAACTTTACCATTTGTTCTTTTCGCGAGGCTGGCCCCCTCCCTCTCTCCCCCACCGCCTGCTTCAGAAGCTGAAAACCTGCAACAAAGTATCCAATTATACACGTCTTCAAAGGTACTTTACTTGCTCTCCAACTATAAACTTTTCACCTGAGTACTTAGTAAGGCCCAAAGATCCTGCAAAAGTGCAACAAGGAGTATTCGGCTCAGAATTGGACGAATGACTTTGACCATACGGGACTTCTCTCTTAACGCTCAGCGTGGCTACCTGGGGACCCCTCCACCTGCCTCCCCGATTCGTCAGATTTGTTCATTTCCTGGACTTCAACCTTCTGAAATCGACCCAAACTAGCCGGGAGGCTCACCCCCAAAGGGCTCCTCCAAGAACCCGCAACGACTGACTCTCTCGTCTTCTTTAAGGAGTTTCACTCTCAGAACGGATGAAGGTGTCACACAGAAAGAACAAAATCACAAAGTTCGAGTTCCGGAGGACCAGACGGCCCCTGCCCCCCAACCCCAGGGCCAGATTCAGCCGAGGGAAGAGCACGTACCTGGAGCCGAGGCCCGCAGAGCGGCATCGCCACGTCTCAGGTCTGGGCCGGCGCCCCGCTCCGGGGTGCAGCCACGTCTGAGCCGGGACAGCGGGCTGGGGAGCCGCAAAGGGACCCAGTGAGACGGGGAAGGGAGCCCCCAAAAGTCAGCGCTCGGCCGCACTCGCACTGGGGAAGCAGGAATGAAACTCCGGGGTGCAGCGGGGCTCCCGGGAGCGAAGGTGGGGGTCCCGTACCGGGAAGGGGCGGGGCTCGGGGAGGTCGGGCGCGGGTGGGGCGCTGGAGTTTCACCCCTGCAGGGAGGAGGAGGAGGAGGAGGAGGAGGAGGCGCGGCGGCGGGGGCGGGGCGGGGCGGGGCGGGGCGGGGCGGGGGCGGGCCCAGGCGGCCCCGCGCTCCCCGCCCCGCGCTCTCCGCGCCCGCTCGCCCCGCGCGGATCTACTCGCCGGGAAGGCGGCGCCGGTGGCGGCTGCTCTCGCTGCGCCCGCTCCCGAGCGCTGCTTTCCCGCCGCGGGTGGGCTTCGCAGCCCCTGGCCCGCTGCAGCCCCGGCCCTCCACCTTCCCTTTGCAAGGGAGGCCCGGCCAGTGTGGCTCATCCCGGGGCGCTCCCCTCTCCCACCCGCGACTGCCCCGCGGAGCAGTCTCGGAAACCCAACTTTGCCACTTCGCGGGTCGTCTCTGCTGGGCGCGAACCTGCCCACTCACCGGTTGGCTACACGCTCGGGGACTGTTCTCGTGGCCCCCAAGCGGGTGCCCCCATTCTGGAGCGCAGCGAGTAGGGGGCGGCTCTGGGGAAGTGGCAGGGGGCGGCTGCAGCTGCTGCTTCCACATCCCTAGCCAGGTGCTGAAGAGGATCCTCGGAGCCGCTCTGGCCCCAGGCACTGGATGACTGGCACCAGCGCGCCCCGCACCTGGTGAGCGACCCTCGCCCGATCCCTGCGTGGCCTTGGCCGGAGCCCCTGACCGCGCCGCTGGCCGGTACCGGGAGACTGCAGCCGTCGGCTGGTGGGTGGTGCCGATCTCGGGTGGGATCCATCAGCAAGCACCTGGGCGGGGGTTCCGCGTACAGGATTAGGACCACCGTCAGTCCGGGGGCGCCCACAGTTGAGCTAGTGCACGGGTTGGAAGTTTGTGTACCCGCCTGTGCCGAGGTCTGAGCATGGAGAGGTAAGGAGCCGGAGCGTCGCGGTGGGCGAGACGTGACCCCTGCCCAGCACCCGGAAAGGTGCGCACACTGGTCTGTGTCCGCACCCGCGCGCCTCCAGGCTCCCACTGCCGGCAGCCGGGGGCGGGGGACACGGAGGTCCGGACTTGGCGGTCCGGGAGCCGCCACCTCGCAGCCTCGCCGGCTTAGGCAGGTTTTCCTGCTTTCCTTACAGGGGAACCGGGAGGCGGTGGGACTTGGGCTCAACTCCGCCAAGCGTCTTGGTTAATGAAAGACACTAAGGCGGGGATGCAGAGGCCTGGGGAACCACCAGCCAGCTGGGCTGCAGCTAGGCAAGCGCCTTTCTCCAGGTATCCCTCCGCTGCTCCACAGATTTTACAAACCCTGGCTCAGGGTTTTGGGCCCCAGAGGGAACGGTTTTTCCCAAGATGTGCGTGGGAACAGTCGTGGAGGAGTGATTCCCCCGGCTCGCTCCCCGCGGCGCCCGGTGCCTGGCTTGGCGCGGTCACATCCTGGTTCCCTGGGCTTTGGCGGGAAGCGCCTTCACCTCCTAGCCCTTTGCTTGCTTTGTACCTGGACGCCGCGGCCAGAGTTGGGATTTAACTTTCCTGCGCCTGCGGCGTCCTCGGGATTCCCGGCAGGGGGCGCTGCGAGCGAGCGCTCTGAGGACCAAGCGCCACAGGCAGTTGCTGGGTCCTGGGCGAGTGGGCGGGAGTCCCAGGCAACAAACAGCAGAACCGGGCAGATCTTGTAGTAATTTCATTTTGGGGGCCGGGGGTTGGGGGAGCTGATCCGGTGGCTATAGAGAGCTGTCAGCCTTGCTAGAAGAGGGGACGGGAAAGGTGGCGGCCAGACATAAGTGCTCTAACTAGAAAGGTCTCTTCCAGAGAAAAAGATCCCTGTAAACTCTTCCTTGTCTGGACATCTGTCTTCCTTGTGACTGTTGCATTTACTCAGAAAGAAATCGAAATTGAGGGAAGATAGCGTGAGCTTTGTTTCATACCGTTCTGCTTTTTAGGGGTACTTTAGTTAACACATCATGAGTCACAAATGATTGTTCTAGTTCGTTTTGAAGAAAGAGAAGTTTTACGTCTAGCTTACCCAGAAGAGCTCTATCCTAATGGCTGAGTTTGGAATCAGCAGATATGTTATTAATTATAGAGGTAGTCTATTCATAAGGAGACAGAAACACAAAACCAGACTTTAATAAGAAAGATTTTTTAATACCTAATTAGGATTGCTAAATTTGTTGCTAATTAATGCCAGTTTCATTATTTTAGAGAGTGTAATGTTTATCCTGACCACTTTATACAACTTCAGTTAAGGTGGATAATACCTTTAAGTTATGTATAACTGAAATAACTTTCTTGTCTGTGCCTGTATTTACACCAAAAGAAACATGGATTTTTTTTCCCTTCCAAAAGATTTCTTTTTCTATGTTTTTCATGAAAAACCAGCCCTAAGTGTAACTGTTTGGTTCACTTGAAACACAGATGTTTTTTTCCTTGAGTTTCTTTCTTTTAAAAACTTTGGTTATAGAAGCTTGCTCATCCACGTTGCTCCGTGAGGTCATGCTAAGCGTTTGTATACACATTGAAGCGTGGGGGTGACAAACTGACATCTATTTTTATGTGCTTTTAGCCAATATGTACTTTTATTAACAGGGAGAAGACAGATGATGCTAATCATTTGATGTCTTTTGTGAATTGCACCTACTCATTTGGTTGTTGTAATGTCAAACAGCTGCGAGATCCCTGCTGAGAGCAAACGCTTTGGTCTCCTGGGTGGTAAAGCTTGTCTCTGTCCAAAAGAAATTTTTGAGATGTTCAGAATTTGGTTAAAATAGGCCTGTGTTCTTCACTGCCGTTTCCCTTTACAATGATTTCATCACGTGTCTTGCGAGAATGAAACACAGAAACTTACAGCACCGAGGCTGTTAAAACGTATTGACCACGAGACCAAAATAAATACAAACACGTTTATACAAACTTCTGCATAAATTTTAGAGAGTCAGGGGCCTTCTGAAGCCCCATCCGTGGATTTGCAGTAAGAAATTTAGTTCCAGAGTCATGTTAGCCTCTTGCTGAAGGACAAATGTTACAACCAACAGGCCCTTCTCTGTGCTGTGTGCTAGGGGCCCAAAAGAACAGATGCCAGCTCTTTGGGGATGATGTCAGATGCTCCTGATGTTAGAGAGAGCTGCGTATCTGAATCGTGACACAGTTTTACTTAACTTGGTGATGAGTTTTAAGAATTTCCAATGATTTCTTTTTTGGTCATAAAGTCATTGAAACTGAGTCTTTTCTTTTGATATAGGAAGATGTGGAGGAGGAGCAGAAAACCTTTGCTAAATGTCCAGCCAAAAGTATAAAGGCATTGTATTATGTAGACAAGTAATCATGAACTCTACAATTGACTAACATCAAAAACCCATCCCAATGAAGAGGTTTGAGTTACAAAGCAGATGGTGTGCAAGATAGAACAAATGAGTTTATAATATATCCCAGTCAAGGAATCCATTTTTATAGTAGTATATGTACAACTATTTGAGTACAGCAGCCCTACTTCCTGCAATAAATCCTCCATAATTCTTGATTCTAAAATTATACCAATTTCGTATTTTAAACTGTTTCTGCAATTGTTGCTATAGTTACCCAGACAAATTGCTTGGGGTATAATTATACCAAGGTGACAAGTTTTTATGTGTTAAATAATATTTAAAATGTAAATTATGGTGTCTAACAAATTGAGTTACAACTCAGTACAAAGTGTCTAAAGTGAAACCTTGTAGGTTTCTGCTCACCTGCATCTACTTGCAAATTTGTATCAAGAAAGTTAACTGTTTTCCTGAATCATAAAATGAGCGTCTATAAGTACTTTCCGTTGTCTTGAGTACAGTTGACAACATAGATAATTTCACGTATGTTCTCAGCAACCTTTTAAAATTGAGATGCAGAAGTTTGGTTGAAAATTAGGTTTTTATCACTCTGTTGCCCTGCAGAGATGATCTGTTATAGATAGGGGGCAATCTCCTGTTTCCAATTCCTGTATAGATTGGGAGCAACTTGGGGATAAATTCAGCGGGTGAGATGTGGTTGCTGGGAAGCACTTTGGAGAAACAGATGTGGGTATGCTTGGTAAATATACAGCGTATTTTTCAGATGAACTTTTTAAAGAATTGGTTATCCAGATATACAAAATCAATTTCTGATAGGGAGAAAAGAAGAAAAAGCAAAATTAAAGTAAGCTAGAATAGACATAAACTTTTCAATATAAATGAGCCTACTCAAAACTTGCTTTGATTCAAAATTGAAGCCAAATAGAACAAAACAAATGAAAACTTGATCCAAGAGAAGGTATTGGATAATAGGTAATCTATTTCAACATAGGAGTATTGACACAATCTTTGCCAACTAAAAGACTGTATAGCTAAGAAAACCTGGCTGTCCATTTCACAGAGTATTTTGAAGCCAGGCAACTTCAAAAGCAAGTCATATTTCACCTTGTGTGTGAAATTTTAAAAAAAGGAGTAACCCAACAGTGGGCTCAAGAACATAGAAAATTTTCCCAAAGGAATTGCTGTTGTCATCTTCTTTCTTCTCCTTTTTTGGTCCAAGATTAATGGTTGTTTGACAAGAGCAAAGACAAGCACACTTTATTTCCCTTTCCTACATTTTAAAATGTACTGACATAGTATTATTGTATTTGGAAAAGATAAAATCATTCTATTTTTAAACTCTTTTTTTCCTTACTGGTTTCCTAGAATTGGTTTCCTGATTAACACTTGGGGGGAAAAAAAAAACCTATTTTAAAAAAGAATAATTTTTTTAGAGGATGAATTTCTTTTGTTATCGAAAGGTCACGAGCCCACTAATCTTTTATCTTCCCATCTTCTACCCATTATTTGTCACTGAATTTCTGTAGAATTGGCTAACCTAGGGTTCATGTAGAATAATGAAGGAGTACACACTGGAAAAATGTTATTTTATGTTACATTTTTATGTACAATTGAGTAAATCATACTACTGCAATAGGTAATTCAATGACAGATATGTATGATAAATAACCAGTAGAGTGATTCTATCAGAAGCCAACTCTATTGGAGAAATAATGCTGTATTTGCTGAGATGTGAAATTAAAGAAGTTATAGGCGAG